AAAAAAAGAAATTGAAAAAATAAAGAAAAAAAAAAGAATTAAAAGTAATGCAAAAGATTAAACTCCCTCCAAGACCAGAAAGTGTTTGCTCATCTACACCATGCAAATCAATATCACAAATTAGACATTTAATTAAAGAAGGTAAATATGAAATTTCACCACACCCACCATTTGAGAATCGACTTGAAAATGTTATTATGCCTGAAGATAGATATTTACCTATGAACATGTTATTTTCAGGAAAAAATCATCTTCCTAATTTACCTTTACTTCGACAACACTTAATAAGACAAGGTAAATTAACACAAGAAGCTGCTATTGCACTTATTAAACAAGCAAGAGATATATTTAAGAAAGAAGCGAATTTATTAATAGTATATGCACCAGTAGTAATATTAGGAGATATTCATGGACAATTTTATGATATGTTAAATGTTATGGATATGTTAGGAAGTCCAAATAAAACACAATATTTATTTTTAGGGGATTATGTTGATAGAGGAGATTATTCAGCAGAAGTATTATTTTACTTATTAGCACATAAAATATGTTATCCAGAACGTGTTTTTATGTTAAGAGGAAATCATGAAACAAGATTAATGTGTGAATATATGACATTTTTATTAGAATGTAATAACAAATACAATATGAAAATATATAATGAATTTTTAACATTATTTGATTCATTACCATTATGTGCATTAATTGAAGGAAATATTAATGGAAGAGTACTTTGTATGCATGGAGGAATTGGTCCTGATATTAATACATTAACTGATATTAATAATATTAATAGATTTATGGAACCACCAGGACAAGGACCATTGACAGATTTATTATGGTCAGACCCTATTAATGAATGGGATCCAGATGATCCAGAATGGGAAGGAATTTCACGATATGAATGGAGTAAAATTACATTTTGTGAAAATACAATGAGACATACATCATATTTTTATGGAAGAGGAGCATTAGAACCATTTTTACAAAGAAATAATCTTGCTAGTATTGTTCGTGGTCATCAAGTTCAAGATGATGGATATTTTGAACATACATTTTTAACAATTGATCGTCCTCTTCCATTATGTTTTACTATTTTTTCAGCACCAAATTATTGTGATCAATATAATAATCAAGGAGCATTATTATCAATTTCAAATTCACCATTTGATATTAAAACATTCTTATGGAAAGATCATCCATTCCAACTTCCAGAATTTCAAGATGGATTTAGTTTTTCACTTCCATATTTATTAGAACATTGTGTTAGAATTTTACAAGATTTAGTTATTTCTATTAAAGATAAAAAACAACAAACAATTGAAGATGTTGCAGCAGATGCACGTTTAAAACAAAAAACTCAACAACTTTTTGCTAAATCACAAAAAATACGAGAAAATCAAGAAAAATATCGAGCTATTTTATCAAACTCATATCATAAAAATATGACTAAATTTGAAAAAGCATTACAACTTGATAAACAAAATGAACAATTCCCAACACCAGAAATGATTGCATCAAAACAATCAAATCATACTGGATTATTAAGAAGAGGTGCATCATCTCCTGCTTTATTACAACGTTTACAACATGATCAATCTTTCTTACTTGATCATTCTTCTAAAAAAATACCTGTTTCATCATCTTCTCATCAACAATCAAATCTTTCTCAAATGAAAAGACAATCATCTAAAACATTTAAACCCCATCAAAAGAAATAAAATCATTTAAAATGACAATCATTTATTAAAATTTCCTTCTTTTATTTATACTCCTTTTTCTTTTCTTTTTTTACCTCTTTCTTGTCTTTGTTGTTCTAATCGTTCATCTGCAAATGGTATTTCATTTTCTTCTATACTCATCTCTTCTTCATATTTAATACCCATTCTTTTTACTTCTTGAATTTTTGGCATTTTAACTAAACACATTCCTTTAGCCACTTCATTATAAACTAACTTTTTAATAGCAAAAATATATTTACATTGATGTTCTCCATATCCTTTACAAAAAGATACAAATGCATTTTGTGATTTTTTAAATACAGTACGATTTTTACAACATATTTCTCTAATTTTATTGAAATATTCTTTTTCTTCTTCTTCATTTCTTTCAATTGTTCTTTCAATAATTTTTACATTTTTCTTTTCCATTAATAAAATAAAACTTTTTTCTAATGTTCCAAGAAATATTAATGAATGTCCAATACTTCCCATTCGAGCTGTTCTTCCAACTCTATGAATATATGTTTTAGGATCTTGTGGTGGGTCATATTGAATAATATAATTAATATTATCAAAATCCATTCCTCTTGCTAACACATCTGTACATATTAATATAGCTTCACAACTCTCTTCAAATTTTTTAATAACTTTATCTCTATTTATTTGTTTTACTTTTCCATGAATTGAATATATTTCTTTCTCTTTTAAATATCCTTCTTGATGTAAAATTTTAATTATATTATATATATAATCTACTTGATCACATGTTAATACAAATACAACTATTTTTTTATCTTTACTTTCTTTTAATACTCTTATCAATGTTTGCATCTTTATTTCATATGGAACAATACAATATTCATTTGCAAGTGAAATTGGTGTTAATGTATTATCATTTGATATTTGTATTTTATATGGATTTCTACATCCTGCAATAACAAATTTATTTAATTCTTTTGGCATTGTAGCACTAAATAATCCAGTACGTCGTTGTTTTGGTAAATGACAAATAATACGTGTCATAGATTGTGAAAATCCCATTTCAATCATTCTATCTCCTTCATCTAATATTAATACTTCTACATTATTCCATTCTAATTCAAATAATTTATTTACAATTACTTCTTCAATTCTTCCTGCAGTTCCTACAACAATATTAGCTCCTTTTTTCATTTCTTCTTCTAATGTAGACATATCAATTCCTCCTGTTAATAATCCAATTGTCATATTAAAATGTTTACAAAATATTTTAGCAATATCATAAATTTGATGTGCTAATTCTCTAGTAGGTGAAATAATAATACCATAAACTTCTTTTTTTTCAATACTTTCTCTTTCTCTTTTAATAATTTCAAATAATGGAATTAAAAAAGATAATGTTTTACCACTTCCTGTTTGACTTTGAACAATAACATCTTTTCTATCTAAAAATGCTGGAATTACAACCTTTTGTACTTCAGTAGGTGTATTAAACCCAAATTCTTTGATTGTATCAAGTGTTTCTTTTCTTAAACTTGGTTGAAAATGTTCAAAATCACTAATCATTACTCTTTTTAACATTTCCTTTTTTTAAATTTCTTTTTTTAAAAAAGATAAAAAGAAGAAAACCCTTAGGGTTGAATAAGTAAATGAAAAAACAAAAAAGAACAACAATTAAAGTTATTTTGAAGTTCATCTCAATATTTCACTTTTATATAACAAATGGATTGTTTTACACAAAATGAAAATATTTCAGAACAACTTAAATTATCAAATGGTAAATTGTGGTTCACTATTGGTATTCTTAATGAAAATGAAGAATTATATGATGAAGCGATTCGTTGTTATGTTACAGCATTAAATCATAATCCATCTAATCTTGAAGCACTTTCACATTTAGCACATATTTATAAATTAAAAAAACAATATATTAATGCAGTATTTAGTTATGATAAATATTTAAAAATTAATGCAGAAGATGGAATTGCTTGGATGAATCTTGGAGAATGTTTTCTTGCATTACAAGAATTAAATAAAGCACATAGTTGTTTAAAAAATGCAAATAGATTCATTAAACAAGAACCTAAATTATGGTTTCAATTAGGTTGTTTATATGAAAAAGCAGGATTATTTGAACAAGCAGAAGCATATTATAAAAGAGTTTTAGAAAGAAGTTATCCAGAAAATGCAGCAGAACTTCATTTTAAAATGGCAATGATTTATAAACAACATGCACAATATGAAGAATGTTTTGAAATATTAACAAGTGAATGTTGGAATAATCCACCAGAAGGAATGACTCAACAAGATATTCTTTGTCAATTAGTTCAATTATTCCAATTAACTGATTCAATTGAAATTGGTAAAGATGCTCATGAAAAAGCAATTTCTCTTATTAATGAAAATGAACCACCATTTGTTTATATTTTATTAGGATGGTTAACTCATTTAATTGTAATGAATCCAAGTGTTAATGAAGTATTTCATTTTGAAGAAGAATTCCCTTATCAAATTGTATTTGGAGTAATTCAAAAAGATCCAACAAATGTTCTTGGTCTTTATGTTTATGGAAGAATTCTTGCTGATAGTAAACATCAACAAAATGCTTTTGATGCATTTCATCAAGCATTACAACTTGATCATAATAATCCTTTATATTGGTGTTCTATTGGTAATTTATATTATCATACTGAACAATATAGTGAAGCTATTAAAGCTTATTTTAAAGCTATTAGTTTAACACCACAATTACCTGAAGTATGGTTTAATATGGGATCTTTATATATTTTCCATAATCAAAGAGATGATGCTGCAAGTTCATTTAAACGTGCACATGAACTTGATCCAAAAAATCCAACATATAGAGCAATGCTTGATGTTGAAAAAGTCAGTGAAAGACCTCAAATCATAGATCCATCTCCTTTTGCTACATTACCTAATTATACTATTGATACATTTACAAAACCATCATTACCAACAAACATTCCATTGAATGTCTTAACTGAATTACAAAAAATAAGAATTCCTGATTTAACACAAATTTAATTCATTTTTTTTTTTTGTTACTTTTTTAGTATTTTTAAATTTAATATAAAAATTAAATAAAAGAATTATTTTGTTTTTCTTATTCTAAATGTTATTCTAAATGTTCCATTGTATAGATAGCATATGCTTTAAGTAATAATTGTTGAATATCATTCTTTGTCCAATTTTTAGTTGGTAAATTTTGTAAAAATACAATTAATTCAGCAAAGTCTTTTTGTAAAATATTTGTACTAAATATTTCCAATAAAGAACAACAACAATATAAATTTAATTCTTCAAATCCATTTCCATTTGGTTCTGAGATATAACCATCCCATAATATTAATGATAAATTTATAGGAAATTCTCTAATTAAACAACAATTAAACCATCTAAATGCAAATTGAATATATTGCATATTTAATTGTTTAAAATGTTCATCAACTCTTTTATTATATCTTTTTGTTAACATTTCTAATTCTTTTAATTCATGATGAATTCCTGGTTGGTCATATGTATAATGACTTTGAATAGATTGTAATATCCAACAAAAACTCCAATAAACATCTGCTTCTAATTCATCTAATTCAGTTTGACTAAACATATCAATTACTTTTTGTTCATAACTTCCAAAATAATATTCATCAATATATACTACTAAAAATGGTACTACCATATCACTCATTCCTTGTACATATCCTGATGCTGGATGTTTAATTGCATATGTTAATAATAATCTTTTCATTAATTGTTGAATTTTATTATGAAATAAAAATGGTATATCTCGTGTTAATCTATTCAAATCTTTAATAATTTGTTCTTCACATTTTTCTTCATTTAATGTTAATCCTCCTTCAAGTAATTTATTTGTCATAAGTAAATAATCTTTTCTTTTATTATGTAAATTTTCTTTTTGTTTATTAGTTTCACATGGAATATAACCAATAAGTATTTTCCATACTTTTCCTCTTACTTGTTTTGCAATCCCATTTTTTGATAATTTTGATAATTGTCCTAAAACATCTCAATCACTTTTTTTCTTCTCTTTCCTTTCTTTTTAAATAATTAACAAATTTTTATAAAATATTCTTTCATCATAACAAACTTTTATTTACAAAGTCTTTTGATAATATATCAATGAATTGTTGAAGATGTACCATTTCTTGTTCTTCAATAGATTTTGTTTTTAATGTTAGACAATAATCAAAACTTTTAGTTAGTCTTGAATGAGTAGGTCTTTTCAACATTTTTTATATGGTGATTCTTTTTAGTTTTTTCTTCCTATTCTCTTTGAAATTTGTTTTTTCAACAACCAAAAAAAAAACTCAAAGAAGAAAAAAGGGTTGTTATTGAACTAACTTATTTTTCTTCTATTCCATGTTTCATTTACACGTTCATTCCATTGAAAAAAAAGACATTGGTCTTTCATCCATTAAAACAATATCCAATTTAAATACTGATGATAATGAAATTTATTTCTATCAAGATCCATTTATTTATTCTTATAAAACAAATGGTACATTAACAAAATTAACTATCCAAAATCTTCCTGATAATATTTATGATATTGTTTATAATGCAGATACTTCAAAATTATTATTTATTAATGAAAAAGGTGTTTATGAATCTTCAATTATTAATGGTACAGCAACATTAAAAATAAATAAAGAAGGAATTAAACGAATTAAATTAAGTGATGATTGTAATTTTATTTTATTAATAAGTTCATCAGAATTATTAATGTATACTCCTGAATTTTCTCTTCTTAATTCTTTTTCTATTAAAGATGTTATTGATGTTTTCTTTTCAAGTAATACTCAATATGTTGTTGTTTTAACTACAACTGAAATGATTGTATTATCAACTGTTTTTAATATTAGAAATAGAGTAACAATTTCTAATCCACAATGTATGTCAATTAGACCATCTAATGAATTTATTACTGTAGCAACTGATAATATTTTAAATTTTATTGAAGAAAATTGTAATATTTATAAAACATTTAATCAACCAAATGAATATCATTCAAAACTTTTATCATGGAATTCAACATCTCAATTACTTTTACAAATAGTTTCAACACCTCTTCATGATATTCTTATTATCTCTTGTTATTGTTATGGTAAATTAATTCCAAAATATAGTAAATCTTTATCATCAATACGAACTGCTTTTTGGGATGAAGTTAATCCAATGAAATTTCATATTATTACATCTACTAATGAACATTTAACATTTAATTTCTTATTACCTATTTGTTCTACAAATGACCCAACATATAATATAATTATTCATCCACATACATATAATGATGTTTCTTTAACAGATTTAAATAAAGGAATTATACCACCTCCTTTATGTCATATTTCTATTCCAATTCAATCAATTCAATATATTTATTCTCAAATAATTAATAATGAACCTTATATTATTATTATTGATTTATTTAATATAATTCATATTTTAAAATATATTGATAATCAAGTTAATAAAATTAATGAAATAAAATGTCCTGTTGATTATCCAACAAATATTTGTTTACTTTCTTCATTAGAATTATTTATTATTGATTCTACAAATCAAACATCAGTCATTGTTAATATTAATAATGGTATTAATAATAAAATTGAATTTAAAAATCTCCCATCACCACTTCATTCTCTTACTCAACTTAATGAAACATTATATTTCCAATTATTTAATGGAACAATTATTACTTCTCAAAAAACTACTCCTAATGATTATGTTATTAATTCAGAATTATCTTTATCTCAATTCATGCCTGAATATTCTATAGTTAGATTCAATAATAAAATTCATTCTTTTGCATTATTTGGTCATAAACTCTATGATAATAATACTGAAATTGGTGAAAATGTTAATTCATATTTGATTTCTAATGATTATATTTTCTATACTACATTAAAACATACACTTCATGCAATAAATACAAAACAACATTCAATTTTCATTAGGTCTATTGAACGTGGTTCAAGTATTATTAGTTATGTACCAAATGATACAAAACTTATCTTCCAAATGCCAAGAGGAAATCTTGAAGTTATTCATCCAAGAGGTGTTATTCTTGATATTATTACTGAGTTACTTAAAAAGAAAGACTATAAACAAACATTTGAAGTTGTAAGAAGACATAAAGTTAATTATAATTTTATTAGAGATTATGCTTTTAATCAAATTGTTGATGATATTCCACTTATTATTACTCAAATTGGACGTGCTGATCATGTAAATGCATTTTTATTATCATTAGAAAATGGTATTCTTGATCCACCTTATTCATATTATATTGAACATTCATTTGAAGATCATACAGAACAAACAAAAACAATTGCATTAGCAATTAGAAAATATCTTGTTGATTCACATTTCCCTTGTGATTTTGTTACAACATACCTTGCTACTTACCTTTTATTACAACCAATTGATTTTGCTATAGTTTTGAAGGATTTATTTAATTTTGATGAACAAGGTAAAATAGATGGTATTAAATATTTAAGTACATTCTTCCCAATTAATGCTATTTTCAAATCAGCATTACAAACACAGTCTAAGAAAATCGCTCAATTTGTCATTTCATATTCTTCACTTGATCCAAAAGAATATGAAGAACAAATTAATGCTCTTTCATTAGATTAATTTAAATTTTGAAATTTTTATTCATTTCTTTTTTTATTAGTTTATTTATTATTTATAATTATTAAAAATTTCATAACAAGTCATTTTCTCATTTCTCTCCTTTTCTTTTTTTTTT